GTGCTCCCTTGCAGGACTGATCCCTTAACCTGTGAAAACTGATACTCTCTCCCGGTAGATAGTGTCAGAGCTGAGTTGAGGTCTTGGACACCTCGCCGGTGTCCGAGAATTATTTGTTGGTGTGGGGGACCGCCCCTCCTATGTTGGAACTGGGTCCAGGAACCCTTTACAGCCACATAAACTAAACAAAAGCTCCTTTTTTTTGGAACAGTAAAGGATTCTTTAGACAAAAAAGTGAGAAAAATCACTGTGAATTATTCTTAGCGTTGATGGGTCCATTTTTGCTCTGCCCTCATAAGGAGTCATTGTGTGGGTTCCAAGCACCTGTGGAAGTCCCTGGCTGGCCCCGGTTTGCGGTCCCTCTGGGTCAGGAAGCCAGCTTCTGGCTGCCTTAGGGGTTTTCATCAAAGATTTTTCCTCTTGGGCTTTTTGTCTATTTTACTTACTATTTTTCTCATTTTGTTCTTTTTCTCATTGTTTTATTTTTCTTTGCTCTTTTATTTAAAATTTTCTAATTAAAATTTTTTTCTTTCTCACTTTCCTCTTTATTTTCTTTTTTCTTCTTTTTCTTCTTTTTATTTTTATTCTTGCTTTTTCTCATTTTTCTCTTTCTCACTCTTTATTCTTTGTAAATTTTCTCATTTTTCTTTTTTCATTCTTTTTTTCTTTTTTTCCTTTTATTACAGGAGCAGAATATACAATATTCAGTATTCCCTTCTACATGTCCATGCAAAACCTGCTCAAGAAATTCCTCATCCTCAATCCTATCAAGGGAGGCCTTTTAGAGGAAACCATCAAGGATCCATGGACCAACATGGGCTATGGGGAGGAACTAAGTAATGCCTTCTGTAGAGTCAGTCCTCCCTGACTCCAAGGACCTTGGGCATCCTGAGTTGATCGTGTCCATGGGCTACACACGTAAAGGGATCCAGGACTTACCCATGAGCCAGAAGTATGATGATGTGATGTTCACCTACGTGCTGGCCGACAGGAGACCCGAGCTAGGGTACTACGCCATCACCCTGAAGCCCCTCCTTTGGCTGATCCCACCAATAGCTGCTGTCCTTACCCATCCTGCAAGGTACAGCACAGGGCCTCTGCCAACCCAAAGCAGCCGCGTTTCAGCGAACTCGCCATTGTCACCTTTAATTCCTACTCTGAAAACAGTCAGAGCCGCAGCACAGAAAATCAGTGGCCTCAGGAGGACCAGGCTCACAGCACAGCCAGAGTGCCTGCCAGTCCCCTGCCTGGCCTGGAGAGGAATACCAGCCCAGCAGAGCCCCCCAGCATGGCCCTGTGGAGCCCCAGGTGGAAACCGCTTCCCCCAGGACACACCCTCCAAAGGAAACCCACACTCGGGGCAGCTAAGGGGCCTGATCACCAGGATTTGCCTAATGGTGTTATCCCAGCCTCTCCCTCTGGCGGCAGCCAGGGCTGTCGGGGGCCACTGGGCAAATCTCAGGTCACTGAGAAAGTGATATAAACAAGAAGACATGTCAGGAGGTCCATGGAGCCAGCGAGATGGCGGGAGACTGGCCAGGCGCCGGACACAGACGGTCGTAGGGGGATGGGGTAAGAAGTACAGAACGCTGTGCGCATCGCCTGTGCTAACAAGGCCTGCAGCGGAGGGTGGGGGTGTGCGACCTGTCGACCTTTGTTCACAGGGTGCAGATAAGAGGATATCCGGCTCCACCATGACCTTCAAAAGCATAGTCTCCAAGATAACTGCTGAGCTTTAGGACTGCCGTGGGGCCACCTGGGAGCCCAGAGAGGCCCCTGGCCCCAGCTGCAGGCCTGCCCCTCGGCCCCACGTCGGTGGCCTTCAGAGACTGGACTGTTGCCCCTGAGGCGCTTCTAACCCTTTTTCTCTTCTCCATCCAGTCTCTTGTGTTTGTGGGGGAGGGAAAATGATTCTGTATAAATAAACAAAATTTACCATGTTCAAATAGAATAGTTTTAAAAACCTGCCCTGCTTTATTGCTACAGTTGTCACAAGGCACTCATCTACTACTTTACAAGAAGAAGGCCCTGGATGCTTCATAATACTCTTGTGACCCAACCGAAAACAAAAACACTTTCCTTGAGGGCAGTCCAAAGCCTAGTGAGACCTTCCTAAGAGCTGGACAAATGTCGATGAATTGTAAAAGGGATTACATTTGGAGCTGTGGCATTGGCTTTTCTTGCTGAGAAAACAAGGCCTGAGGGTCACATCTGTATGACAAATATTTCTATGAGGCAACCACTTCAGTATTTATAAGCCTAGAACAGTGACAGCATATTCTCACTCCTGGTGCACCCGCCCCTGGAGCCCCAGCCCTAACTGGGGAGCATTCACGGGGCTGGTCTTCTGTTAGGTCCAGACTCAACTTCTTGGGCCCCTGTGCTCCCTATCGATATCCTCCTCTCCACCTTGGGTCACCTTCCCCTCCCCAAAATAAACCTCCTTTTTTTTTTTTTTTTGAGTTCAAAGAACATTCCTTTATATTTTTGAAAGATTTTTTTCAACATTATTGAGGTATAATTGAAGTATACTAAACCTACAAATACTTTAAATGTAAAATTCTACCAGTTTTTACATACCTACGCTCATGAAATCGTGACTTCTCAACATGTCCATCATCTTCCAGTGTTTCCTATGTCCTTTTTGCCTATTTCTCCCTCCACTGCATCCCCAAGCAACTGCTGATCTGCTTTCTCTCTCTATAGATTAGCTTGTATTTTCTAGAGTGTTGTACAAATGGAATCATACAATATGTTCTCTCTCTCTGCCTGCTTCTTTCATTCAGTATGATTTTGAAATTCTTCGATATTGTGTGTATTCACACTGTCTTTATTGCTGAGTTGCATTCCATCATATGGATATATCGCGACTTCTCTATCCATTCTCTACTGGTGGATTTGGGTTGTTTCCGAATTTTGACTATAACAAATAAAGCACCTGGGAACGTTCGCATATGAATCTTTGGGTTTCATGCTTTCGTTTCTCTGGTAAACACGTAGGAATGGAACGGTTGGGTCATATGGTGAATATATGTTTAACTTTTTAAGAAATTGCCAAACTGGTTTCTACAGTGGTTGTACCATCTTACGCTCCCACCAGCAACGTATGAGAGTTTCAGTTGCTCCATGTCCTCATTGACGCTTGATATGATCAGTCATTTTGCATTCAGCCATCTCATGGGGTCTTGCTTGTTTCAATGCACAGCAGTTTAGCTACCTCTAGGCCTCACTTCCACCAAGGGGCAACATGCTTAGGTTTATAGAGAATAAGACTAGGTTATGCCTGTTGTGACGGTGAAGTTAATAGTGACCTTTTTACCTTCCAAAGTGTCCTGGTTTGGATAATAAAGTATGTGGTTTCTCTACATCTAATCAAACTTGCCGTACCCCTGGGTCGTACATCCACCACCACAAATGCCCAGCTAGGCATTCTGCTCCACAGAGACTTTTCTCTCTGCTAAAAGAGCTTTTCTTAAATTTTTTCCTTACCCCAACAGTATTACAGGAAGAACAGGGGCATAATGTAGTGTGTGATACTGGAGTTTGGGGGCAAGTGGAAGGGGTAGACGGAGGGGGTGAGACCTGTCCTGATGACCATTTGAGATGGATGCAGCCATGCTTGAGGTAGATGCAATCCTTAGCTTTCCCACACAAGAACCCAGAAATCCCCCTTTTTTGTTTGAGCTAGTTAGACTTGCATTCCTGTCACTTGCCATTAAGAGTCCTGACTAGTATGCATAGTAGGCGACTGTGCCTCAGAAAGGCAGTAGCATTTTGCCAAGCCTTGGCTGCCTCTCATTTCACATCTGAAGTACCTTCTACTTTTCCTGAGAGTTAGTTTTTTTTGCTGACCTAGTCCTGGTACTTGGTTGGGGCTGAAACTTCGGAGAAAACTAAATGCCCAGGGTCAAAGTATTCAACGGTTATCACCACATGGTTTGTTTTATCAAATGCCCTAGCTTTGCGTATCCACTCTAATGCTGCAAGCTCCATATTCTTTAACTAAATTGTCATTTCGTGGTACGATCCAAAAGCTTCTGAATTTTGAGAAGCAGCCTCCCTTTCCAACTAGCATTTCCTTCCTTAATGACTAGATTTAATACTTAAAGAAACATATCCATAGTTCCTCGGAGCGCTAAATATGCCAATGAGCAACCCCGTAAGTGACCTGTGTGAACACATCTCTAGTGGATGGCGTGTGCGCTCTCTCAGTAGCACAGTGACTTACTAGTGTTGTCTGAAGACATCTCTGTGTGAGCATTGCAAAGGTAATACTCTAGTGGATGAAAAGAGGCCAAAAGTGGGGGCAGAAGTTAAAAAGATCTCATTGAATCCCCTCTCGAACATTCTCAGACAGATAGGACTGCAGAACTGAGCGAGGCGCCTGACTCGCAGGGGTGCCTACCAACCGAGGATCGCCCTGGCCTGGCTCCAGGCCCACCGAAACAACTAAACTCGGCTGGTGGCGGGGTAGTGTCCGCCCTTCTCCTTTGTGGGGCTCGGCCCAAGTAGCGGGGCAGGTCTCGCCTCAGGGGAGACTAAAAGGCTTCCAATACGCACATCCAGCCCTCGATCCCAAGTAGCTGCCTTGGCTCAGGATCAGCAGACGCAGGGAGAGAACACCTACGACCTGCCACTGCCGCCTCGGCGTCAGCCCCGCCCCCTCAGTCTCTAAATCCCGCCTCCGCGCACCCGGGCTCCATCCCCACAGACAGGCGCTCGGGCCCGCCTGGACTAGCACGGCCCCGCCCCGTTCTGGAGGGCTCCGCCCCTGCACTTAGAGCCCCGCCTCTCCCACTTCAGGCTCCGCCTCCGCGCTCCGGCGCGCCATCCCCAGGGACACGCAGGTGGCCCCGCCCCCTAACCCGCCCCTGGTCTAGAGGGCCCCGCCCCCGCGCCTAGAGCTCCTCCCCTCCCACTTCAGGCCCCGCCTCGCGCTCCGGCCCCGCCCCCGCGTGCCCTCGGGAGTCCCGGGGAGGAGTTGCCAGGCGGGAGGAGGCGTGGCCGTGGTGCCGGCGGAGGCGCGGGCGGCGGGGCCGGGACTCCGGCTTTGACACGGACTGCGAGCGGGAGCCGCGGCGCGGGTGCTGGGCACTGGTTTGCGGTTCAGGCGGATCCTGGGTCCGAGTCGAGCGCGGGACTTTTTGCCTGGATCAACGCAACTGCCGCGACGCCGCAAGTCCTAGTGAAGCCGCAAGACTTGGTGCAGCTGCGGCGGTCGGATTTCGCCGCCGTTGCCGCCGCCCTGCAGCCCCGCGGCTCCTGCCGGCTCTGGGAGAACGACTCTGCGAGTTTCTCCCGCAGAAAGAGCCGGGACGCGCGGCCCAAGGCGGCGTGCGAGGGATCCCGTGGCCCAGCCCCTGACCCGCACCCGCGCGGGCACCAGAGCTGGAGGCAGGGGCCCAGCGCTGTCCGGGGCTGGGCTCCGACTTCGGAGCCGCAGGTGGAAGAAGGACGCCCCCGGGGAGCGGCCGAGAGGTGGGGCGCGGGGAACGGCGCGGGCCTGGTGGGGGTCCATAAACGCCTCCCCGTCCGCACTAGCGAAGACGGAATTCCGGCAGGAACGGGAGGTGTGGGCTGATGGGGATAGGTCTCCTTCCAAATGAAGCGACTTATCGCCTTTTTGGACGCCGATGTGATAAGCCCGGACCTCTCCAGGGAGAAATCCACATGGGCCAGGCTCGTGCGTTTGGGGTTCACGGACAGCCACCAGCCGGGGACTCCTGGTTAAGGACTCCAGCTCTAGGTAGGGAGTGCTAATGCAAACTGATTAACTGGCTCAATTGATTTGTGTGTTTATTAATTTGTTTTCCAGGTGGCCAAGTGGAAGGTACTTTTGGACGCTCTGGGCATGGAGATTGAGTGTTTGTGATAGGTAACCAGTCAGCCCCTGAATCCGGCACCTTGCCTTCGTGCCTGTGAGGTCTACTGGGCTTCCTCCCCAGCCAAAGAGTTCTTCTGCGGTGGTGAGGCCTTCCTGAGCCCCTGATCCTGGCAGGTCATGGGGAGCACCCTGGGCTGTCACCGCTCTATCCCCCGGGACCCTTCGGACCTGTCCCATAGTCGCAAGTTCAGTGCGGCTTGCAACTTCAGCAACATTCTGGTGAATCAGGAGCGGCTGAACATCAACACTGCCACGGAGGAGGAGCTGATGACCCTGCCTGGGGTGACACGTGCGGTGGCACGCAGCATCGTGGAGTACCGCGAGTACATCGGTGGCTTCAAGAAGGTGGAGGACCTGGCACTTGTCAGCGGGGTGGGTGCTACCAAGCTGGAGCAGGTCAAGTTCGAGATCTGCGTGAGCAGCAAGGGCAGCTCTGCGCAGCACTCTCCCAGCTCCCTGAGGCGGGACCTGCTGGCGGAGCAGCAGCCTCACCACCTGGCCACCGCCGTGCCCCTCACTCCGCGTGTCAACATCAACACCGCCACCCCAGCTCAGCTCATGAGCGTCCGAGGCCTCACGGAGAAGATGGCTGTCAGCATCGTGGACTACCGCCGCGAGCATGGGCCCTTTCGCAGCGTCGAGGACCTGGTGAGGATGGGTGGTATCAATGCCGCCTTTCTGGACCGGATACGGCACCAGGTGTTTGCCGAGAGGTCCAGGCCTCCGTCTACGCACACCAACGGGGGCCTGACCTTCACCGCCAAGCCCCACCCCAGCCCCACCTCGCTGAGCCTGCAGAGTGAGGATCTGGACCTGCCGCCCGGGGGGCCCACGCAGATTATCTCCACTCGACCTTCGGTGGAGGCTTTTGGAGGCACAAGGGATGGGCGGCCTGTGCTGAGGCTGGCCACCTGGAACTTGCAGGGCTGTTCCTTGGAGAAAGCCAACAACCCCGGGGTGCGAGAGGTGGTGTGCATGACACTTCTGGAAAACAGGTGAGGACAGGCACCACCAGGGGTGCCGGGCGTAGGGGTGCCGAGGGTAGGGGTGCCAGGCCGTGAAGGCAGCTCTCGCATGGCCTTATCTGTACATGCAAATGAGTGGACCTTTTGGGGAGTAGGGAGAGGGCAAGAGTGTTTCATCTGTGTTCTCCAGGCCCCAGCCAATATTGTCACCTGCAGCCGAGCTCTCCTGTTCCAGAATTTTCAGAATGCAGCTGTCTGGGCTGCATCGAACACGGTATATCTGAGATCAATTCATAATCTGGGGAGTAGGTAGAGACTGTGTTGGTGTTGCTACAGAAAATGTTAGACTTTATGGGTTTACATCACATCAGGCCCTCAGAGCCTGGGAACTATTGCACAGTTTTGCATGTGAGAAAGAGCTAGTAGAATTTTTATTAATGAGAGGAAAGGTTACATTCGTTTCACCAAATATGTCTATTTGTGTGCACAAAGTCATCTTTAAGATCAGGTATTTGCAAACACAAACACTGTATATTTACCAAAATGCTGTGAATGAATCACTCTTCATTCTTTTCCCTTATTTAGCCTGAAGTTGGTTTTCAGGCCCACAATTGCAGCTCTAAATGTAGGTAACCTCTTCTGTTCCATAGTCAGAAAAGGTCAAACTGACGTGCGGTGAATATTGGCCAGCGTTTCCCATTTGAACTACAAGAGAAGAGACTTATAGGATGAGCTCTAATCAGTGTTTACATTATTCACAACGCTGCTCTCTGTAGGAACTTCCGCTAACCCCGCATAAAACAAAGCAATATTATTGTACCAGTAACTCCTGCTGTTAGTAAAACAGTGTATTGTATAATGTAATCAGCACTGGGAAGGAAAGAGATATTTTTAATGGTCCCTTCCAGGTCAGAAATTCTCTGATCCTGATAGAGAGAGATTTTGCACGCTCCCTCCCCCCAGAGGTGTAGTATGCTGTGGCCACTCTCTGCTTTCCCTTGTACTGGGCTGTTGGTGACAATGACAGGGCAGCAGTTCTGTGATATGAGGTGAGTTGGGGAGGGGGCTGGGAATCACAGTTCATGTGGGAGAAATTCAAGATAAATGGGTGAGGAGAAAACCAGGTCACGGTGTTTCTCTGGCACCATCTCAGTGGCACACTGTCCTCGAGGGACAGTGCATCGGCTCAGAGAACCGGACCTGGGGAGCCCCTGCGTGCTGTGTCCCTTGTTTTGCCTCGTAACTCACTCCTTTCATAAAATCATCTTGTACACAGGTGAGAACTGGACCCGGCCTTGGGAGATATTTATCAGGAATGGCTTGAAAATTGTTCTCTTCATCCTTAGCGGCGTGGGTGCCGGTATGGGAAAGGGGAGGGGCGGGGGGAGGAGTGGCTGTTTAATTCCCATCATGAGTTTCCTTAAGGCTCATTTTGGCAGGGTGGATCAGGATCAGAAGTCGCTCAGTGAGAATGACAGACTGGGCAGCCCTTGCCTATTTACCGTGACAGTGATTTTTCAATTATGGTCTCTGGACCAGCATTGGCATCAGTGACTGACTCAGAAACTCTGGGCTTCTGTGTTTTCTCACGCCCTCCGGGTGGGTCCGATGCACTCTGAAGTCTGAGTCCCATTGTACTTTGTGTCAGGCAGTCAGCTGTCCCTGCGGGTTGCTCTGTAAAGCGCCTTCCCCAATACTGGCTTTTCTGACAAGGTCGGTGAATCCGTCTGGAGCTTTCTAGGTACTGTGTGTTTTGTTTGTTTTTTGATTGTTCTGATCACCCCTGTAGTTATTCAACCACATGATGTTCTTTCTAGTCAGGTTAGGGGGCTTATTCTGCTTCTAGAACAGATGAATACGGTCCCAAGTGGGCCCCCCTGCAGCGTGGGCCTGAGGCAGCCCGGGACACTGGAGGAGCCCTAGCGACTCTCGTCCAGCGCGAAGTTCGGCTTGGTCCTGAAATCTTTGGATTTCCTGGAGGGATGATTTGTTGAAGACATTTAACAGCTGTCCTCAGGCGAGATGCCAGACGAACTTGTCCAAGCCCAGTAGGGTGTACAAGGGGGCACCTGGAGGTAACCGGGGAGGCGACCTATATCCCTATCACATTCGTCACACTTGGCCACTTCTGTTGTGCTGTGAGTTGGTGGTTCCCTTTGTCTGTTCACAATTTGTTCAGTGTTCTGGGGACTCTTAGCACTTTGTTAGTGTTTGGTAAACATGAAGTAATAGGCTTAGGGCCTGTGTGACTGTCTAGGGCACCAAAAGACGGCTGGCTGTGACAGAGTGGATCACGTGTCCTCAAAACAGCCGTGCACCTTCTGCAAGAGCTGTGTGTTCCTCCTGATTCACCAAACTCTCTTGCGTTCCAACCGATCCCCGTGTTAGTAAGAGGAAATACATTTCGTTTGAGCAAGAATGGATGCAGGTAATTTTCCGAGTGGCTCATTTCCATATATGTGTGACTTCTGGGTACGCCTTCCTGTTTTCCAACAGCATTCACATTCATTTGATGCCCCAGTATCTCCAGGAAGTGGGTGAGTCTTGCACTTATTAATGATTCTCCATCTCTGGGTGACGAAACTAAAAGCAAAGGAGTTAAGTGACTTGGCTCCGTCCCACAGCTTGTTAGTGACTCAACGGGGACTAGGACCCGGACCTTCTGACTTTAGACCTGTGTTCTCTGTGTGCATGCTGTGTTTCGTGAGCATGTCGTCTTTTTCTTGCCTCTTGTACAGGCATCCCACACTCTGCCTATTCAAGGGCACTTGCCAAGTTGTGTGCTAGTCACATTTTCTTAAATCCATTATAGAGGTCTTCTTATAGAGGTCTCTTGGCTCCGCCTCTTCTGTATTAAATTAGTGAAATTCCTTAACCTCTCCAAGTCTCAGTTTTTCCATCTGTTAAATGTAATTAATGGGGAGTGGGGGGGGGCGGGGGAAGAAGAGAAAAAAGAAACCCTTGAGCACTTCTTTTGCAAAGGAAATAGCCAGCTCTTTGTTTTCTCCTTTGTGGATTTGCTTTAGTAGGTGTGTTTTCTTAGAAGAAAGGCATCTGTGTGGGACTCTAAAGGGTTAGAGTCCTTTCTTGCCCTGAGATGCTGCTGTGTTGGTGGACTAGCAAGTGTGAGCTACAAGAAGCCACGTTTTTGCAGGCAAAGGCTGATGTAGGGCAGCAGAAAACTGGATAATCATACCGTCACCAGGAGCCGTCAGGGATGGTGTAACAGAGCTGACAGGTTTCCTCAGATTCCTTTGCCAAATCTCAGTCTTAGGCAGTGTTTTTCCTTGTTCAGTATTTATGGAGCAAGACTCAGAGAGGAATGCTTCTGCTAAAATCCTCGCAAAATTTGGTGATAGCCAATATGTGGAATGAAGACTTTAATTTTCATTTTCGTGGGGGTTTGTTTTGTTTTGTTTTGTCTTGTCTTGTTTTGCTGAGTAGTTGTGCTGTTTTGAAAAGCCCTTTTGGTTTCTGAAAGGATCAGCCCTGGGGAACTGACAGATCATCTCCAAAAGAAATAAGGAGGTTTCATATTCCATTGTGCAATTTCTCCATGGCCTCCATCCGAAAGGAAGGCGAGTGTCCGTCTGGAACCTTACAAAGGTCTAAATCTGTCTTCTTGCCATATGTCTGTCTGAAGTATCAAAGACAAGGTGAATTAGTGCCTGGCGACACACACCGATTGTGAAAAAAGGGATTTTAGTATATCGGGTTTGATTAGCAAAATCAATATAGACACAACTTATCTTGATTCATTCATTGACAAATACATGTTGAGTGGCTGCTGTGGACACGCACAGGCTAAATTCAGGAGTCAGCCTGGCCTTGTTATTCAACAGAGTTAAGTAAATGCAAATCAGCTTGTGTGGCTCACCTTTGAAACAGCCTGGGAAACCCAAATTTTGGGGGGAAAGCCACTGGGTTTGATTGATATCTGGTTGTTTTCCCCGTATGAATATGGGGGTCCGTCCTGGGAGTTGAAAGGTGAATGGATATAGCCAGACATAACATTTGGGGACAAAGTGCCCAGCAGTCTCCTTAAAGTAAAAAAATGTGAAATCTATTTTCACAGCTGTGGAAACTGAGGCTCAGAGAGACTAAACAGCATCCGCGTGGCCTTCGGACATGTAAATGTGGGAGTCAGGATTCGAAGCCAGGCATCTGTCTCCTTTCAGAACAGGGAGTGGGGGTGTCTTTTCCCAGACTCTGTGTCCTTCGACCGACCCCTGGCCCACCTGCTGTTTCCTCCCCATCTTGGGTCTTAGACTGGCCAGGCTTCACCTGCACCACCCGGACTGCGGCAAAGCCCCGGAGGCCTCTGCTCCCTTCCTGTTTTTGTCCCTCTGAAGGACCAGGCTTATGGCCAGAGGTAGAGCAATGCGGAGGGCGTTGCGGCCCCTCAGTGTGTCTGTGACCTTGGCTCAGATGTGACCTCGGCTCAGCTCCAGGGTGGAGTTCTGGTTTTCTGAGCCAAGGAGCTCTGGGTCGTTTCCGGAGGGAAAGGTGGTCAGTCGTAAGGTTGCCGCGGATCGCAGGCGAAGGCGGTGCGGACGGCAGGCAGTCCCGCTGTGGGCACAGAGTGGGGTTTATTGCACCCAAGGGAAGGATGTTCCCCTTTGTCTTTCGGGAAAGCTGGGCCCATGTGGGATCTGGTTTTGGAGGACTGATTTCCCCAGGGGGCTAGTCATTCCTTTATGATTTGCTCATTCATCCAACAGATGTTTTTTGAGCTCTCACTAGGTACCGGGTTCTGTGTCAGCTCCGGTAGTAAAGTGGAGAACACGTCACAGTCCCTGCTGTCATGGAGCTTCCGTGTTAGGTGGAGAGACGAACAGGTCGTGGATGAATAATTACAGACAGCGGCCGATGCTGAGGAGAATGGAGGTGAGCTGAAGAGAAACCTGTCGAGGCAGACGGGGGTCAAGGAAAGCCTCACCTGAGAGCCGATGGATGCGAAGGAGCCAGGCCTGGAGAAAGCGGGGGACGAGAGTGCGCCATTGGCAGAACCAGCAAGTGCAAAGGCCCTG